GCACTGATCCAAATTGTTTTCGTCTGGATTGTCCCCGAAGTAAGCATGCTTCTGAGTACTGGCTTTATGCTTTACTGATTTGAACAGTCTCCGCGCTTCCTCATCGCTAATGACCGACACGACCAAGCTCTTTCAACACTGAAGAAATACCACGGCAACGGCGAAGCCACCGACTTTGTCACTGCGGAGTTCATTGAAATCCAAGAGACACTAGCACTGGAGAAGGAATTCGCTAGCCGCATGTCTTGGATTGATCTCCTCAAGACGCCCGGTAATCGAAAACGCAGCCTCATCTGCTACCTCCAGGGCTTCTTCTCCCAGTGGTGCGGCAACGGCCTTGTTTCGTACTACCTTGTCCCAGTTCTGGAGACGGTTGGGATCACGTCAAGCCCGGAGCAAGCTGGTCTTAATGGTGGACTCCAGATTTGGAATTTCATCGTCGCCATGTGGGCCGCCTTCAACATTGATCGCTTTGGACGTCGACCGATGGTCCTGACAAGCACGGGCTCAATGGTCGTATGCTTCGTTATCTGGACTATCTTATCTGCGAAATATAAGGAGACAGGTGATGCAGGTGATGCGAAAGGTGTCATTGTTGCCATCTTTTTGTTTTACACAGCTTTCAACTGCGGCTGGGAGGTCTGAATTCCCCCAAGTGCTTTCATTATACACTGTTAACGCCTAGCAGGCAAGGTCTAGTTCTTGCGTACCCAATCGAGATTCTTCCATACGAGATCAGAGCGAAAGGCCTCAGTCTCACTTTCTTTGGCGTTAGCAGCGCGCTGCTCAACCAGTACATCAATCCAGTCGGGGTGCAAAATGCTGGTTGGAAATTTTACATCTTCTACGACGTCTTTCTTGTCGTAATATTTGTGGTGGTGTACTTTCTTTGGGTCGAAACGAAGAACACTCCACTGGAAGAAATCGCCAAGTACTTTGATGGCGACGAAGCAAAGATCGGAGGTGAAGCGTCGACTGCGACTTCCGCAGCAGTATTGGATCAATTGCGGGCGAAAGGAGATTTTGAGATGACGGTGTCGCATATCGAGAATACTGCGGAACCCGACGAGACTGCTTGAGAAAGTAGCTCAAACAGAGTCCCACGTGGTACCGCCGATGGATGTGTCAACATCTCCAAACTGCAGAACCGAAAACAACAGTGGCATTATGCGTCTGTGTACAGAAAGCCTTGGCAAACACCGCGCCTATTTAATCCGGCTCTTGTTCTTTCCCATTCTTCTCTCCATAAACAAGGCTCTAGTCGCTGAACTGTTCGAACCAAGCTACACTCAAATAGGCCTCAGATCACAACTACATCAATCACACAGTGAAACTTACCCTTGAATCACAGTGTTCTTTTCGCATAAAACACACATTGATCACTATCCATTTCTACTCAACGCAAGGCTTACTTCAATATTCTCCTTATCAACGACCACGAGATTCACTTGCAAATCATGATAACGTGGTTTCATCAGATAAGCGCACTGGACAGCGAGGAGTGGGAGCCGATGGCAGCTATTACGGCTCAACAGGAGGGAGTGAAAGTGAAAAAGGGTCAGCTAGTTGGTGGGCTTATGGCTATTTGGGGGGATGCTCAGGACAAGCGAGACTCGAAGCCTGGCTTCTATGAGGAGTTGGAGAAAGCATGCAAGGCGACGTGGGGGATGTCACCGCCGATCGACGTCCTCCGAAGGGCCAGAGAATTTATCGAAGCCTGCACTTCCCCTTTTCCCATCCTCTTCACGGACCACATGCTAGAATTCATTAATACGAAGATTACCATCAATCCGAACCTCAATTTCTCTAAGATGGACGAAATGTACATCGAGGGCTGGTATCCTAAGTGGTTTTGACAAACGGGACCTCAGGTGAAGAGCGACTGCGGACTTTTCAAATATCTGACTATTCAGGCGACTTTTCGGTGTTGAAGGTGGCCAGTTGTGCTTTGGATGTTTTGCATTGGGAGCCTTATTACTTGGGCGAATGGGCGGTCGCTGGAATGACAGCGGCATTGCTTACATCGTTCTGACATCTACTGAGTTCTGATGCACTTTAATTCAAATAAGGTGCCGATTTATGCATCATTCATATTCAACAGAGACCGTAATACATAGATACAAAGGACACACTCTGGTCAATCTGCCGAACCACCAATCAACCATTGAGAGTCTGGCTCGCACAAAAAGCAAGCGGTCATGTAGACACCTCCCAAAACTTTTGCACGAGAGCAATGTCCTCGTTTTTGAGAGCCGGGTACGACAGAAAACCGCCGAAGTCGAAACCAAGATTTGCAATGAATGTCATGTTAATGACAGGCGTGTCATTGTGTTGGTCTACCGCTTCCCCAAATGAACTACACGTGTGAACCACACGCGGAACCAGCCAAACAAAATTCAGAAAGCTTTCGACGCAGCATTGACTTTCTCGGTCTATATGTCGCTCACTGCCTTGACTCTTGGTATGACGGTGCTCTCAAATAGGGCCTTCAAAGGTCGAGCGCGGTGATTATGTCGTTCATGATATTGTACCATTCGCCGAATTCCAATAAGTAATCAGGGGCAAGGTAAAATAGGTAACTGACAGCATAGGCGCCATTGAGAAAGCTAGTGTCCTTGGTGCCGCGAAGGACCAAGACATAAAGGCCACCGATGTCACCAAAGATGTTACAGGCCGCGGAAGCTTCGTCAATCGGCTACAGCTCTGCGCTTCATTGAGCACTGGCTGGAGCTTGAGCACGTATTGCGGTCGACACAGGCGTTGAGACCAGATTTTGAATGCTTTGAAAGGCTGGAGCATCGATCAATACCTGCGTGTGGTTATCGTTGGGGAATGGAGCGTCGCCGGTAATGATTTTGTTAATTAGGGACAGTATTTCAGACTTCTCTCAGGCTTACACGGAGATGGATTTTGCTCGACTGCATTAGCTTACGCACGCTAACTCCAAATACATAAGTGTGTTATGTGAGAACATATGGAGTGAACCGAGAAGGGATACGTGAATATTGCAACAATGTGGAAAATTGCGTTCAATATTTGCAGGAGCCTCTTCAACCTGTACCGACTTGGCGAGAATCTCACGCTGCGCACAGCTCAGTTCCTCTCGTAGCAGCGCCGCCCATCTATCAATGCACGGGGAATCGCAAATGCTGCCAGACAACAAGTCAATTCAACCGACAGGATGCACCGCAGTGACGTGATGCTATAGCTCCAATCCTTTTTCGCCCGCCACCTTCTTGATCACTTTCGCAACCCATTCTGGTCGGTCCAAGAACGGACTGTGATCACCATCGCATCGAATAACGTCAATACTGCGGCCCTCGGTCAGTTTCGTCTGGAGTTCCAGAGGCATTGTAGTGTCGTTCTCGCAGAAGATGTAGGTACACGGAATGCCGTTTCGCCATGGATTGTATTTCATCGGCGCCATACCGCACCCAACAGCCCAAAATGTGAGTAGTGAACAGGCACGATCGATTATCGCTGGGTCAGTTTGGCGGTTATACATCAAAAAACGCGCTTCTTCTGGAGAGATTCTGTGGATGCCGTCGACCTGTTTTTGTCAGTGGAGAGGTCCTGGTATGCATCAGTGGATTCCTGCTAATCCGTACAATCTTGATTTTCCCCGAAGCCACCAATTCTTTGTCCTGCGGGCGATAATCCATCAAAGTCAAGCCTTCATCGGGCATCATTGCCGCCAGATAGACAACGCCTATGACGCCTCCTTTCAACCCTTGCTCTTGACGGCTTTTCTTGTCCAGGCCTGGGAGCGCTGAAGAGGCTGGCATTCCGCCGTACGAGTGGGCGAAGACAACAACTTCTTGACCTTCGTCCACCTCAGCCGAAACTGCTTTTACAACGGCTTCAACATCTGGGTCCATGTCTGAGACAGCTGGAGTCGCAAACGTTGAAGGCAGGGGAGGCGCAAACACTCGGTATCCGGCATCTCGGAGGACCTTGATGAGGCTCTCAAAATGAGCAGGCTGGTGATAAGCACCGTGCACAATTATAATTGACGGCTTAGACATTGTTACGAATGTTTATGAAATGTCCTTTGCGAATTAAAGGGAATCTTATGACTTCGTGCGGCTTCAGGAAGAGGGATGTTCGTTGTTAAGTACTTGTGGAATCCTCTGCCAAACCAAGGCTCAATACGCCGTCCTCGTCCTGAAATAGAAATCGCGGAGCTATCGGTGAAACAGAGGTAAACATACGATGGAAAGTTAGTACCTGCATATCATTTTCAGCTTGTGAACGAGTCTTATGCTCGAGTATTCGTCTGTGCTGCTGATCCGGGCGTGTGGTTTGACCGAATCTTACTCCGTACTCGTGGGGATACTCCGAGCCATGGCAGCATCTGAGGAGCCCAAAGATATTTGTAGCGGCATCTATATTTACCGCGTCTATACGTTAAGGTTCGACGATCTGTGCCGTAGTGTAGTGGGCTGCCGATGTTGAGAAAGGACCGTGTGCGATCTCGACCTGCTGGGGATGAGGCGGCAATGGCGGTACATCACCCATTGCCTTTCAGTAGCCTCTCGTCGTGCTGTATTATATAGCAGCGCGTAAATTGGCAGCATTAGAGTAGGTTCAAATTTACGGGCTACCCTACGATTGTTGTCTCTCGGGAGCCATGCCGTGGTTATCGCGCTCTGTCGCCGAAGCTGGTTGGGGGTTAAAAGCCATCACTAACCTTCTAAAGTAAACAGTAGGCTTGCTCATAACTACAGGCGTATAGAGTTTTATATGTATGAGTGCTAAGTCAGGGCCTTCAGCTTCAGCGAAAGAGCGCGATAAATACGGTATTTTGCGAGAGAGAGATCGAAAAACTCTGCGAGACTGCGACAGAGTGTGCGGGACTGTGAGACGCGCTTCGGCAAACTACCTAAGCAAAAAATTGGAGGAGCGGATCGATGACGAATATTGCTTTTACTGGGAATAATTTTGCCCTATATATTTCAAGTTGAATTTTCGGACCAATGCCACTCAAGCCTTGCTTGAACGTCTCCGTGGTGTAGTCGGTTATCACGTCGGTCTCATACTAATTGTATGATCCGGACGAAGTCCGGGAAATCCGAAGGCCGCGAGTTCGATTCTCGCCGGGGACAATTCATCCGGCCGCGGCAGTGGGTTTACTTTTTTGACCTCTTTTTGACTTGTCCCACCCCCAAACCTCGCACCAGGGAGGAGGATGGAGTGGTGGTAGACTCTTCTTTTTGGCTGGTGGGAAGAGGGGAAAGGTGTAGGGAGACGAGCTGTACCTCACCACCATGTACATACTATATTTAGCAACTCGCAAATCTACAGTTACAATCATAGAGTCTGTGCTCAGTCTGTGCTCGGTCATGTCGTCCATTCGAGGTTGCTACTGCCTTCAGTCAGCGCTGCAATGCGGCACATCTTCGGCATTGAGCACTCAGAATTCGAAGACAAGCGCGAGACATGTATTTCCATCATAAGGTACTTCAGACTAATGGGACATGAGCCAGGATATCTAGCATATCTATCTACTCAAACAATTGAGAAAAGTGGAGTTGAGCTGCTCACGCAGCTACATCATACCAAGATCCCAAGCGTGTACCTTTCACAGCCGAGAGCAACCCTAATGCGCCGTCGCAATGCATACCAAAACCCATTCAGCAACTGTGTCTAGCCCATCTTGCCCAAACTCTGCAAATTCACAAGCTCAAAGTACCTCCCCTTCTTCGCCACCAAATCGCCGTGCGTACCGCTCTCCAACACTCTACCCTGGTCAATGACATAGATCATGTCAGCCTTTTGGATCGTGCTTAGCCGGTGAGCGACGGCAATTGTAGTTCTACCCTTTGCGGCATGATCCAACGCTGCCTGGACGACCTTCTCGGACTCGGAGTCGAGCGCGGAAGTGGCCTCGTCGAGGAGCAAGATTTTCGGGTTGCGAAGGAGCGCGCGAGCAATGGCGACACGCTGTTTCTGGCCGCCGGAGAGGAGTGTGCCTTTGGAGCCGCAGAGTGTTTGAAAACCGTCACTATTCATTTCTTAAATCAGTAGCTGTTCGGGTTATGTCAAACGAAGGCAACTTACGGCAAACTCATCACAAACTCATAAATATTTGCATCACGACATGCCTTCTCAATTTCCTCATCGGTGACCTCATCCTCGCGATCACTCCCTAGCAGAACATTCTCCCGAATCGTGCCCTGATACAGCGTCGGCTCCTGACTGACGAGCGCCAAATGGCTGCGATATTGAGTGAGATTCAGACTGCTAATCTCCTTGCCGTCGACGAAAACACCGCCAACGAGCGGATCGTAAAACCTCTCGAGCAGCGCAATCGTGGTGGATTTACCGCAGCCCGAAGCGCCTACAAGCGCAACGTATTGGCCCGGCTTGACTGTAAAATCCAAGCCCCGAAGGACAGGTTGCTCCGGTCTTGTCGGATAGCGGAAATGGACATCACGGAACTCGATCGAACCGTCCATCTGTTCCACCTTCTCCCCATCCTGACTCCAACTATCAATCTCCGGGACACGATCGAACAGCGTTTTTAGCTGGGCCGCAGCGTGCTTCGCCTTCCCCATATCCGGGGCAAAAGAAAAGATCGTACCCGCCGACTGCGCACCGAAAATGACAGCCGTAAAGCACACGAAGAACTGGAAAATTGTGTACTCGCCACGCCCGATCAGCGTGCCACCATACCAAAAGCCCAGCGCATTGCACAAGAAAATAAACGACTGACTACTCGCATACAGCGTCGAGCTCCTGAGCACACTCTGCAGCGACTTTGCGCCCTGGGCCGTCAACTGGTCGTGGTAGTTATTCCACACATCCTGCTCTCTTGTCAGGCTCGCAACAGTTCGAATCGCGGACGTCGCTTCGCATGCGTAGCCTGCAGATTTCTCGTACGCCTTTTTTGCGCGCGTCTGGAAGCGGGCGAGCATCCAGAACCGGAAGAACCCGCAGGCCAGAAGAACGGGAATGGTGGCGGTGCAGACAAGGCCGAGTTTCCAGCCGATGGCAATGGCGAGGGTCATTGCAGCGACCAGAGTCGTGGAGACCATGAGGATGGTGCCGAGGGTCGCGCCGCTGAGGCCTGCGAGATGTGTCGTCTCGGTGGAGAGGAAAGTTGTCAGTGCGCCGGCGTTATTTTCTTCTCTATCGAAGAATTGGATATCTTGACGCAGCATGGTGCGGAAGGATTGGTCTCTAGCCCGATGGATGAGGCGCTCAGAACAGTATCCCAGAGCGGAGCCTTGGCCACCCATGCTGAGAAGTTGGGTACCGGCAAGCATAAAGTACATCCAGGCCCAGAAGTTGATTTCATGTCTTAGTTCGCCATAAAGAGGAGGTGGCAGACTCAACGCCGAGATGGATTTCGCAAAGAAAATGGCCTGTGTGGGATTGCCGCCACCAGCGATGACGCAGCAGACGAAACCAAAGGCCATAATGTACCATTCCGGTTTGTTGAACTGGCCAACGACTTTCATGAGCGTCCAAAGTGAGTATTCATGCTTCTCCTCGGCCTTCTTCTTTTCGAGCGCAGCGCTGGATGCGGATTTGCCGGTCTGAGTGCGATTGAGACGGCCAGGATCAACGTCGTCGGGATCAGATTCGAACTTCTCAGTGTCATAGGATTTTTCTTTAGAAAGAACCTGGGGATCTTTCTTCTCGTCGTCCACAATGCTAATGTCGTCCGAGTGTTCTTCTTGCTGTGCCGCGGCAGCGGCAATGATCTTTTGCGCCTCGACGAGGTTGTAGTACGCCCCTCTCTTTTCTAGGAGTTCGTCGTGTTTCCCTTGCTCGACAATTCGACCTTGAGACATGACCACAATATTGTCTGCATGCTTGATGGTTGACAAACGATGCGCAATGACGATTGTCGTACGTCCTTGAGCGGCGCGGTCGAGAGCAGCTTGCACCACGCCTTCGCTCTTTGTATCCAGTGCAGATGTCGCCTCATCAAGTAGCAGAATCTTTGGATCACTCACAATAGCTCTTGCGATGGCGATACGTTGTTTTTGGCCTCCACTGAGCAAGAATCCGCGCTCGCCCACATTCGTCTCATAGCCTTCCGGAAGTGCAGTGATAAAATCATGAGCATTCGACATTTTCGCAGCGTTAATAATCATCTCCTTTTGCTTCTCCTCGCCAAGATCCTCGTGCTCTGTACCAAGGAGACCATGACGGATGTTGTCCTGGATCGTCGTCGCGAAGAGTACAGGCTCTTGCTGCACGAGAGAGATGTGTTGACGCAGCCATCTCAGGTTAAGCGTCGTGATATCGTGTTCGTCAAGGAAAACTTGTCCTCCAACAGGATCGTAGAAGCGCTCGACGAGCCCAACAATTGTCGACTTTCCGGAGCCGGATGCGCCGACCAGAGCGGTCGTCTTACCAGCAGGGATGGTCAAGCTGACATCCTCCATCACGACGACTTCCGGTCGCGACGGATAGATATGCTTAATATTGCGTAGTTCTACTGTGCCTTTGACTTCTTCCAATTTATCGCCCTCGTCGGATTCCGGGTCTATTGGCGAAACGCGATCGATCGCACTGAAAATCTTTTGGCCTGCTGCGACGGCCGCTGTGAATGCTTTGCCGTTGGGGGCGACGTTGCCGAGCGAGAAAGCGCCGATGATGATGGAGAACAAGATAATAAGAACGTCTTGGAGGCTCATGTCTCCTCGGACGAGGAAACGGGAGCCTTGCCAGAATGTGAGTGCCTGTCAAATGTGAGTCTGCGAAGTGCTCCCAAAAGGCAGAGAACTTACGTAGTTGAGATAGATGAGCGTCATCATGGTGGCAATCATGAAGCCAAGAATTAATTGCAGCTTCTTACCATACGACTCCGCTTCATTGAGGTAAGCATCGTACTGTCGCGCGAGTTTCTCCTGGGTATTAAAGGCCGTGGCATTGCGAATTGAGCTGAGAACTTCTTCCGCGACCGTACCACCTTTCGCATACGCCTCTTGCGACTTTGCTGTCCACTTTATCACGAAGCTGGATCCACCACCCATTGTGACAACGAGGGCGACAACTGTTGAGCAGAGAATCAATGTGAGTTTCCAGTAATAGACGAAGCCGATGACAAAGGCAGCAATGAACGTCGCAAGCGCAGACATGGTCAAGCCGACCTTCTCGGAAATGCCGTCCTGGATCAAATTGGTATCTGCTGTAATCCTGGTGGTAATCTCGCCAGCGCCGAGTTTGTCGAAGAAAGCAACATTCTGGCGGAGCATCGCTTTAAGATACTGCTCCCGGATTTTCTGCGTCATGTGCTCGCCAGCGTAGATGAAGCCAACCGTTGCGATGTACTGTGTTACAAATTCGCCGATTGCAAGGTAGACAAAGTAAAGGACCAAGTTCCCCAGCTGACTGTTGAAAGAGCTGATATCTCCGTGGCCATTGAAAAACCCGCTAAAGGTACCAGTGAGACGGCCGAAGATGATTGTCATTAGAGGAAGGGCGCTTCCAGCAGCGATGGCACAGAAGGCAGAGATGGAAAGAATGATCATGTCCCACCGTGTCGCATATCTAGGTGGAAAAGTTAGCTCTGTCGCATGCCTCACACCTGTATTCGTGTCTTCTAACGCTAAAGCGAAGAATCACTTGGGACATCGCTACTCACCTGTGTAGGGTGAAAAAGGTGACTTTGACCGCCGGCACGTCTAATTGTCTCCGTAAAATCTCAGCCTCGTGTTCTGGCAAATGTTTGAAAGGATCCTCGTCTCCATCTTTCTTCTTTTCCTGTATTTGCGAGTCCAGCTTCTCCAAGTCCAGTTTATCTTGAATGGGAATGGTTATTTCTCCCATGACCGGAGCTTGTCCTACGGCTGTCTTCTCAGCATCGCTAGTGATCTCTCTCGATGAGCTCTCCTCTAGTATATCATCCTTCTGCTTTTCCGACCATTCGATGGGCGTGGGCGTGGACGTGGATTCGTCTTTGTTCTCTGGCTTGTCCCCCATGATTTATGCCTAGCAAAGGGCAGGTATGGTCAAACTCAGGGTCTTGGGCGCTCAATTGAGGGCGATAAGGTATACGTCAGACCATACAATGGGTAGGATGAAGTTCGTGAGCGTTAAGAAGGCTAAAATTTTAGACAAAGTGGCGACGCCAACGATAATGGTGACG